GGAAGGGGTTATCCTCAAAAAGGTTGGAGAGAGGGGGTAAAGGAGGTGTTGTGGGCGAGGAGTTTGGACTTCCAGCAAGCGTGCGTGAGCGTGTTAGATAGGAGTGAATGGAGACAAATGGTATTTGGGACCTGACGAGCTGTTGGAGTGTGAGCAGGGTAATATTTAGTGAAGGGATTCAGGGAAACCAGTTATTTTATATAACCGGACTCGAGTCCTGGAAATGGGAAGTACAATGCCTGCACTCTAAAGGAGGGGTTTGAGATATTGGCAGTTTGGAGGGATATATTGTGTATTTTCATATGTATATACTTCTAAACTGCTGTATTCTGGGCACCTCTGCAAAAACAGTGGTTATTTATTTGTGAGTGAGGTGAAAGTGTTGAATGATGATGAAAGTTTTTTCTTTTTGGGGATTTTCTTTCTTTTTGGGTCACCCTGCCTCGGTGGGAGACGGCTGACTTGTTGAAAAAAAAAAAAAAACTGCCCATTCAAAAAAAAAAAAAAAAAAAAAAATGCCCATTCAACTATTTTAACTACTCTTTAAAGTGATCAGAATTAGTAATTTAGCCAATTTTACATAAAATTACCAAAAACAAAATTCTTATTCACACAAAAATAGAATATTTACTCTATTTCTACTCTAGTTCTAGAATATTGGAAAAAAATCAAATATTTCTACTACTTTGAGCTCAATTTCAAGAACATAAGAACATAAGAACATAAGAAAGGAGGAACACTGCAGGAGGCCTGCTGGCCCATACTAGGCAGGTCCTTTACAATTCATCCCACTAACAAAACATTTACCCAACCCAATTTTCAATGCTACCCAAGAAATAAGCTCTGATGTGAAAGTCCCACTCAAATCCAACCCTTCCCACTCATGTACTTATCCAACCTAGATTTGAAACTACCCAAAGTCCTAGCCTCAATAACCCAACTAGGTAGACTGTTCCACTCATCAACTACCCTATTTCCAAACCAATACTTCCTATGTCCTTTCTAAATCTAAACTTATCTAATTTAAATCCATTACTGCGGGTTCTCTCTTGGAGAGACATCCTCAAGACCTTATTAATATCCCCTTTATTAATACCTATCTTCCACTTATACACTTCGATCAGGTCTCCCCTCATTCTTCGTCTAACAAGTGAATGTAACTTAAGAGTCTTCAATCTTTCTTCATAAGGAAGATTTCTGATGCTATGTATTAATTTAGTCATCCTACGCTGAATGTTTTCTAACGAATTTATGTCCATTTTGTAATACGGAGACCAGAACTGAGCTGCATAATCAAGGTGAGGCCTTACTAATGATGTATAAGCTGCAGTATGACCTCTGGACTTCTGTTGCTTACACTTCTTGATATAAATCCAGTAATCTATTTGCCTTATTACGTACGCTTAGGCATTGCTGTCTTGGTTTAAGGTTGCTGCTCACCATAACCCCCAAGTCCTTTTCGCAATCTGTATGGCTAAGTTCTACATCATTTAATTTATAAGTACTAGGGTTATGGCACTCCCAAAGCTTCAGAACCTTGCACTTATCTACATTGAACTGCATCTGCCACTTTTCTGACCAAGAATAGAGTTTGTTTAAGTCCTCCTGAAGTTCCCTAACATCTACGTTTGAATCAATTATCCTACCTATCTTTGTGTCATCGGCGAATTTGCTCATATCACTAGTAATTCCCTCATCAAGATCATTGATATATATTATAAACAACAACGGGCCCAAGACTGATCCCTGTGGAACGCCACTTGTTACAGATCCCCACTCGGATTTAACCCCATTTATGGACACTCTCTGCTTCCTGTCAGTGAGCCATGACTCGATCCACGAGAGCACTTTTCCCCCAATGCCATGGGCTGCCACTTTCTTTAACAGTCTATGGTGCGGAACTCTATCAAAAGCCTTACTAAAATCTAAGTAAATAATATCAAATTCTTTATTGTGGTCAACAGCCTCAAAAGCTTTACTGAAGAAAGTTAATAAATTAGTTAGACAAGACCGGCCTCTTGTGAATCCATGCTGAGTATCATTAATCAAGCTATGCTTATCGAGATGGCTTCTTATAATCTCAGCTATAATTGACTCTAGTAATTTGCCTACATTGAGGTCAGGCTTATTGGGCGGTAATTTGACGGTAACGACTTGTCCCCTGTTTTAAAAATAGGAGTTACATTAGCCATCTTCCACATATCAGACACTACACCTGTTTGAAGAGATAAATTAAAAATATTAGTTAATGGTTCACAGAGGTTCCATTTTGCATTCCTTAAGAACCCTTGAAAAAACCTCATCAGGACCCGGCGACTTATTTTGCTTCAGTCTGTCTATCTGCCTCACAACCATCTCACTAGTGACTGTGATGTTACATAATTTATCTTCTTCTAGCCCACTGTAAAAATTAATTACTGGAATATTGTTAGTGTCTTCCTGTGTAAAAACTGAGAGAAAATAATTATTTAAAATCAAGCACATTTCATTCTCATTGTCAGTAAGGTGCCCATAGTTATTTTTAAGGGGACCTATCTTATCTCTAACTTTTGTTCTATAGACCTGGAAAAAAACTTTTTGGGTTAGTTTTAGAATCCCTAGCAACTTTAATTTCATAGTCCTTTTAGCTTTTCTTATCCCTTTTTAATGTCCCTCTTAATGTCATATACTGATTCATAAGATGACCCTCACCTCTTTTGATACGCCTATTAAATTCCTTTCTTATGCCCTAGTAGATATTTGAGCCTATTATTCATCCATTTTGGGTCATTTCTATTTGATCTAATTTCTTTATATGGGATAAACGCTCTTTGAGCAGCATGTATAGTGTTCAGAAAACTGTCATATTGATAGCTCTCTTCGTTACCCCAGTCAACAGATGATAAGTGTTCTTTAAGCCCATCGTAATCTGCTAAGCGAAAATCTGGGACTGTTACTGAGTTATCGCTACTATCGTACTTCCATTCAATGCTAAATGTAATTGATTTGTGGTCGCTAGCTACTTCCAGTCCTGAAACCAATCAAAATATATATCTATTTCGGCAACATCTCATCAAATGCTACCAAAAAACAATCAATAAAATCATAAAAACTATCCAAGAAAGCACTGCAAGGTCCCTATTTTAAACCATACACGTATTTCTATGAGACAGCAAAAGCGTTGACAGGTCTGATTCAATTATTGGGACTCTGTAAACCATTTCATTGTCTGGGAAATAGAGTAAATCTATGTTTGTGTGACTATGAATTCAAAATGGAAGGAAAGTGTAATAAAGGAGAGGCCTGGAAATGTGATTCATGAACAGAGCAAATGTTTTAGTGCTAGGAATGCCTACGTACATAGTTTATTTTGCACTCTGTTTTCAAATTGGCATTTTTTTGTGTGTGTAAAATTGACCAAATTACAAATTTCTGTACACTTATAGGGTAGCTGTAATAAATGAATGGGCAGCTTCTTGTGATCAATCAATAGAACAGAAGGCATACTAGCGAAATAACTTAAGAATATGCTCAAATGGAACAACAAAAAATTTCAGTCAAAGATATTTGAGGGTATTTAGGGTATTTTGAGGTTCCCGAATTTAAAAAGGGCAACAGGTTTTTCAAATTGGCTCTAGTTTGTGATACATTGCACACATACCCTTAATTAACAGGGAACTTACCCATAATGCATGTATATGTACATGTAGTGACAATTTTTATGTACAGATAGTTTTAATAAAAATCAGAATTTTATTTTTAAATGATTTAATATTTAATGATAAGAGTTGTATCAACAACAACCACTTGACAATACTGTAACCTTCATTTTGTTTTTTCCAGATAAACCTTAGTTCTTCACGAAGAGCCTGCTTAAACAACCCCAATGCATTTTGCTACATTTGTGGCGAATACTCTTTGCAAAAACATAGAAAAAAAAACATCGTAGATTTTGTAACACAAGCTTAACTTACTTATTTTGGAGTGGCACCTAGAGAACAAGACAAGTCTTGGGCTCCCCAAATGGTCTGCAAAACCTGTGCAGAATGCTTACGACAATGTAAAAATAGGCAAAGGAAAAGTTTAAACTTGGGTGTGCCTATAGTGTGAAGAGCCAAAAAACCACGACGACGACTGTTATTTCTGTATGGTGAATGTGAAAGGTTTCAGTCAATACAAGAAAGTCAAGTAGGAATATCCTGATTTGGAGTCAGCAAAGGAGACCTGTGCCACACAGCGAAGACGTCCCCATACCAGTGTTTACAACACTATTGTTGTCAGATGTTGAAGGAACTCAGGGTTTAGGACAAAATACAGGTGATAGCAGCAGAAGTGAATGTGAAGTAAGTATTTCAACACACCAGTAGTTCTCCCAAGAAGACCTCAATGATCTAATATGTGACCTCAATCTGTCAAAGCAAGCATCTGAGCTTTTAGCATCCAGACTAAAAGAAAAGAACTGTCTACAACAAGAAGTTAAAATAACAGCTTATTGGACAAGAGAGGTTGAACTCCTTCCTTACTTCAGCCAAGATGAAGAACTTGTATACTGCAATAACATCCCTGGACTTCTTTGAATTGGACTTGAACATCGACCAGGAGATTGGCGACTGTTTATGGACAGCTCCATCAGAAGCTTGAAATGTGCCTTATTGCACAATGGTAACCAATATGCATCTCTTCCAGTTACTCACTCAACAAAACTGTGCTGATGACCAACACAGAAGAAAATCATACAAACATTGTCATATGCAGTAATTAGTGGCATCTGAATTATCTTATTATATTAATCTGTTACTACACAGAATGAAGTGCTAGTATACACTATATGATTTACTTTCAGAATGTACACCTAATGTCATTCACTTTTGTACAACCACTGTATCATGCTGAAATAAAATACTCTTATCCTTATTCTTCTTTTATTATCCATTCATCCATTCAGTGACAGAAGTGAAAGCGAGAAATTTTTTTACACAGTTGTGGACAAAGCAGAAGACAAAACTTGGAATGTTTTCAATTGCTAACCATTCTAATACGAAGCAAGTCCTCCTCCAAGCGCTGTATGGTAGCATCCCGGTCAGCCAGAACTTCACAAAGCTGCTCGATACGCCCCTCAGACTGTTCTCGCTCCAACCGCAAACTTTCCACCTTCAAAAATTGAAGTTTAATACTAGTATACACTCACTGCTCAGTAGGGATATAACATCTACCAAATCCACATTATTTATAATTAAATGGCTGAATTTTCTAATTATAAAATGGATTACAAGACACTAATCCTACAAATACATACTGCATTTGCAAGCAAGATCTGCATCTATGATGCCTTATTTTCCTCTGAGACTATAGCCACAACAAAATAAAAAGCTTCCAGGTATACCAACATAAATACTACAATACCATTCTAGCTGCTGCTGCTGCCACAACTGCTGCCACCACCACTTCTATCAAAAATGAGTCACCTGGACAACTTACCTTACTCCCTTCATATACCCTTCATGTTTATGCATTGTATTGCTTACACTGGCTTGACAAAGTTACTGCTAAGTATGATGTAGCGGCAATGTCTCATTAGTCGCAGCCCTATCCATGTGACTAACAATCACCTACATACAAGGTAGATTTCAAAGTGACCCTACACGATGATTCTCTACTTAAACCTGTAGTGAGTACTTCACTATTACATTACATAAATACATACTTAAAGCTTCAAGAAAATATATCAGATTATCTGGAAACAGAATGGCAGAAAAAATAATGTAAAAATAACAAACAAGATAAAAATTATAAGTGTCTCCCTTTAATGGGACACACATATATTCAGTAAATATAATATAGTATCTTATTTTCATCTAAAAGATGGAGAAGTGGACTGTATCACTACTTATTAGAGTATACAAATAACCTGCACATAGAAGAGAGGAGCTTACGACAACGTTTCGGTCCGACTTGGACCATTTGCAAAGTCACACTAACGAAAAGGAGAGCAGGATGGGTATACATAGGCAGGAGGTGGTAGTAGTAGTGGTTGTAGTGGAGGTGGAAGGTAGTAGTAGTGGGGAGGTAGTAAGAGGAGGAGGGGCCAGTCAAATACTAAGAAAGAGGAGCACTGCAAGGGAGCTAGGTGCTCACAGAGGGTAAGAGCAAGAACACGAGGGGGGGGGGAACAAATACTAAATAAATAATCTTACTACCTCCCCACTACTACTACCTTCCACCTCCACTACTACTACTACTACCACCACCTCCTGCCTATATATAACCATCCTGCTCTCCTTTTCGTTAGTGTGACTTTGCAAATGGTCCAAGTCGGACTGAAACGTCATCATAAGCTCCTCTCTTCTATGTGCGGGTTATTTGTGTATCGTTCCAGTCACGGTATTGTGCTTTTTTTGTTAATTATTAGAGTACTGTTCAAATATTCCATACGGCAATAAGCATATGATGTGAGTCATTCAGCAGGAGCACACCGGAAAGTCATTTTCAAAAAGATGTTCATAAAGTGTTCATCACAAATGGTGCAACTGAGTGAGTTTTCATTTGGAAACACCACTAAAATTTCTTTAGCTCTCATTATCTCAGATTCACCTAACAATTCTTTTTTTAACTCCCTTTCCCTTTAAACTTATCCAACCCATTAAAACTTTGTTTCACTCAGTGCAAAGGCTTCCAGCTTGATATTCAATGCATACTATGGGATCCAAAGAATATACCCCAACCAACTGCATTTTATGGTAGATACATACAGTATCTACCATAAAAATTAACAGTCACAGTGTAGAAGACGCAAACTATAAGCTCAAAAAATCAGGAATGAAAACTATATTTTTCAGTTTGAAAATGATAACATCTAGAATGGTCAGAAAAGTCATCCAATTTTCACTCCCTTTTTGTGTTTGAAAAAGCACTGCATTTTTTTTAAAAAACCCACAAAACTATCTTATCCATGGGGAAGTTTAACAAAATTCCCCCTCCATAAGCCTGCGTGTGAAGGGGCGACAAAAGTCCCAGGAGCAAGGGGCGAGTAACCCCTTCTCCTGTATGCATTACTAAAGTTAAAAAGAGAAATTTTTGTTTTTCTTTTTGGGCCACCCTGCCTCGGTGAGATACGGGGGTTTTGTTGAAAGAAGAAAAAAAACTATCTAATGGTAAAAACTTTTTGGGAAGATTTTTCCCCCTTCCTTGTATCTTTATCAGGCCATTTTTGGGTTGAATGGCCATTCAAAGGCAATGCAGCCAGCTTCTGTTTACTCCACTTAGTTTTCAAATCTAAAATAAGACGGACAAATAGTATTCACATTTATCTTGAAACAATAGAAAAAACTTTTACTGCACACATCAGGTACGTTTTTTTTAAAACAAAAAATTGGCATGTTTGTGATATTACAGCCACCTTTTAATAAAGTTAACATACAAACATAGCATAAAGGGGAAAACAAAGAGTACGTTACAGTAAAGAAAAAAATTTAAAACATATAAAAAAAGCGTACAGAAGAATGAGAAAAAGAAAAGCAAAGTAAAGAAGCAAACCAACAGCAGAAGGGAAAAGAAAAAAAAAGGAGGACAAAGGAAGACATACAAAAAAGCCAGAGGAAGAAAAACAAAAGACAATGTACGTACTACATATATAAAAATAAAATTTTAAAACTAAATGTTTTATTGAACAGCAATTTATTTATGGGATAACAAAACCTGCACAAACATCAGACCCTGGGTAATCAGGTTTTAGCCAAGGAAAGGAAAGAGAGCTCCAACTCCTTGGAAAGTTAATGCTCCGACTGGTTAGGGTACTTAGGTGCCTTACAAACCACCATGCCATATAGCAAATGTAATATTGGGTTATATCCATACATGCCTTTAACTTTTCCATGAGTTGTTTGTTTTCCCGGTAAAGGTGCCAGCCGGGGTACCCAAAAAATTTCAACCCCCATACTCAGGCACACAGATATGGTGCTGCATGATTGTGGATAATTACCCAAATAAAGCCAAGACTTTCTCAGTCTTCCCTAAACCCTATCACAATGAGAACCCAACAGAGACACAGGCTCAAGATCCCTTAAAGGGATCAACAAAGATACCCGAAGGTAAATCCCAAGATACCCAAAAGGAAATCCCCAAGATACCCCAAAGGAAAAATCACCAAATATCCAAAGGAAAATTTCACCAAACAGGGGTAAGAATGTAAAAAGAGAAAAAAAGAGAGTGGGTGAGATTTATCAAAAATTTTTTGTTAAAAAATAAGAAAAATTTTTGGAGTGAGTTTAACAAGAAAGGAACCCCAGAGAACAAATGGATTTGTCAGTTAAAAAAAGGGAGAGGAGAGTTATTAAATGGAAGTTAGAGGATTGGAAGATGGGGGGAAATTTTTTTGAGGAATTGTTAAAGGGTTGATGAATATGGGAAGCTTGATTTCGGTATGGGCAAGGAGGAAAACACTTGTAGGGTGAGAAAGAGCCGTTGTGATGTGGGGGAATTCGGAGGCAGTAGTAGAATGAAAGGGGTAAGGCACCCGGGGATTGATGGGAAAAAGTAAAAATTTAAAAGCAGGGGGGGATTATTTTTTTGGAGTGGTTGTGAAATTATTTAAAAAAATGATGGAAGAGGGAAAGGTACCTGGGGATTGGCAGAGAGCATGAGATTCCTTTGATAAAGGGGAAAGGGGGCAAAAGAGTGAAAAATTATAGGGGGATAAGTCGTTGATATCCTGGTAAAGTGTTGGGAGAGTTATTATTGAAAGAATTTTGAGTAAGACGGAGAAAGGATAGCAATAACAAGGAGGCTTTAGGAAAAGGGAGGGAGTGGGGACCAGTGTTTTTAAATGAAAAAAATAAGTGAAAAAGATTTAGTAAGGCTAAAGAGGGCTTTGTGGCATTTATGGATTTGGGGAAAAAGGGGTATGCAGGGGGGATAAGGGGCAATGTGGCAGATGTTGCAGGGGTAGGGGTAGGAGGTGGTTTTCTGAAAGCAGTGAAGAGTTTTTTACGAGGTATGGGCTCAAGTTTTTAAAAGTATGTAGGGAAAAGGGAATTATTTCCCCGTAAAAATAGGCCCTTTGACAAGGGTGTGGATGTTACCGTGGGTTTTTTAAAATATTTTTAGATGGGGTTTTTAAAAGAAATAAATGCGAGGGTCTTGGGAAAAAGGTGTGGGTTAAAAGATAAAAAAATCACACAAAGGGGAGTTGCACAGTTGCTCTTGCTGATGACACGTGCTCATGGGAATTTTGAAAAGAAATTGCAAGTTGGTGGTGAATTTGGCAGGGGGGGGCAAAAGAAGAAAATTTAAAAATGAATAAAGGGAAAAAGTAAGGTTATGAAGATAACAAAAAGATTAGGTGAGAAAGATTGGATATCAAGGGAGGGAGAGAGTTGGAGGAGGTAATGTATTCGATATTGGGATGGACGTGCAGCGGATGGGTCATGAAAGTAGGTGAATCATAGAATTGATGAGGGGGAAAAGGGGAGTGGTGCACTTAGGAGCTGTGAGACAAAGAATTTGTCCTTGGAGGGAAAGAGGGGAATGTAAGAGTATGTTTTACCAAAGCTCTTAATGGGGTGAAGCATGGGGGATGAATGTTGCAGCGGGGGAAAAGGCTGGGGGCAGTGGAGATGTCATGTTTGAGGGCAATGTGTGGTGGAAAAAAGCAAAGAATTGTAGTTTGGAAGTTTGGGGGAGGGGCGGGGGTTACCAAAATGTTGTCCCCCGAGGGGTGAGGGAAGGGTTGTTGAGGGGTTCACATGTAGAAAAGAAGGAGCGAAACGTGACTTCAAGAGTGTTCGTCTTAGTGGGGGGGGGGGGGCGGGGAGGGGTCGGCCAGGGAAAAGGGGAGGGAGGGGGTAAAGGGGTTTTGTGTGCGAGGGGCTTGGACTTCCAGCAGGCATGCGTGAGCGTGTTTGATAGGGGGAATGGGGGACAAATTTTTTAAACTTTACGTGCTGTTTGGGGTGTGAGCAAAGTAAAAATTTTTGAAGGGGTTTAGGGAAACCAGTAGGGTGGACGAGTCCTGGAGATGGGAAGTACAGGCCGCACCTAAGGAGGGGTTTTTAATGTTGCAGTTTAAACGTAGTGTAAAGCATCCTTCTGGCAAGACAGTGATGGAGTGAATGATGGTGAAAGTTTTTCTTTTTCGGGCCACCCTGCCTTGGTGGGAATCGGCCAGTGTGATAATAAAAATAAATAAAATCCAACACCTGAGTTTTGGTGAGAAAAAGTATGGTTGAGCCCTTACAAAGTTAATATGTTACTGTAAATTGTATTTAAGTTTACTGTTAGGAACTTAGAACTTATTTTCCCATAGACACTCATGTTATAATTATACTCAGGGATGTATTCTTGAGCAATAATATTCCATATCATGAGTTTCATCACTAAACAGTATTATACTTTTAAATGTTTTCAGCTAAGAGAGGGCAGATGTAATAGAATCGAAGTCTAATACTTCTGGTGTTAAACTGATATTATAATAAAAAAAGAGCTAAACTCACTAGGGTCAAATGGTGTGAAAAATTACTTACCAGAGAGCTTCACAAGTTTTCTGCCATCACTCGTGATAATTGAGCCAAAATTGTGCCAATCCCGAAGAGAGAAGCTTCCACCATTTTCTTCACATGCACTATGAAGCCGTTCAATTGGTATGAATATTTCCCCATCCACCAACAGCTGGTGGTATATGTCTGCTGGAGCATCATTCAGGCTGGACCTTACTATTTCTGACTGTTGTTCCTGTGGCTCTCGTGCAATGTCCAATATGGTTGGAAGAGAAATGGGTTCTGAGCCTTGAGGCAAGATAGTCTTACTGGTACTTGAATTGAAACTCAAAAACTTATCATGATTAAAACCTGACTGTCTCATCTGACTTGAATTCAAACTAAGGAATTCTTCATTTTTAAAATAAAATTGACCTTTTGGTGCAGAGACAATAACTGGCAAACTGGCTCTCCTGTAAGAATCAGCCAGTGATTTGGCATAGGAGCTTTTAAAATTCCTTGATGGTGAAGATGTAAGCGAAGTATCTTTCAGGAAAGATATCTCAGATAAAGCTTCAAAGTCCTCCTCCTCCTCTTCCTCTGTTGCTTCCTGTGCAGCTTCATTTTTGCTTTTGTCCTTCAGCTGTTCAGTCTTCCAAGCCATACTTACATAAAGCTCTTCACTGACATTTTCTTTATCTTCAAATTGAATGGGACTAAGATCAAATTCTGTATTTTCTAGAGAACAGTAGTTGTTTAATGAAGATGGACTACTGTCATCTTCATTAGCATGGTTGATCTTGTCTGTCTGTGCATGGCCAACTTGGTCATTTGTGGTTCCCTGTTGCCCATCTGCGTCCATTCTGCATCATGAGCACACTGTAATATAACACACAATATAACTAAAATATAATGAATTATTTTAACTAAATAATGTAAATTATTATTATTATAATAATCAAAAAGAAGCACTAAACCTACAAGGGTTATACAGCACTAAAGAATGTAAAGCATAACCATCATGAGGCAAGAGACTAAACTTTCTCAGTCAGTTCAGTCAAGGAAGAAACATACAGAAACCAAATGGAATTGTTTTTCAACCTTTTAAATTAAACACACAAACAAACACAAACACACATACACTCACAAAATCTCTCTCATTCACACACACACACACACACACATTCATACACCCACAATCTCTCACTCACTCACTCATACACACATTCATACATTTATTCACATGCTCAATCGATCACACACTTGTTCACACACTCACTCATTCACATACACACATTCACACACTCATTTACACCACCAGTTTGGAACCCACATCTAGCCAAGCACGTAAAGAAACTAGAGAAAGTGCAAAGGTTTGCAACAAGACTAGTCCCAGATCTAAGGGGTATGTCCTACGATGAGAGGTTAAGGGAAATCGCCCTGACGACACTGGAGGACAGGAGAGATAGGTGGACATGATAACGACATATAAAATATTGAGAGGAACTGACAAGGTGGACAGAGGTAGAATGTTCTAGAGATGGGACACAGCAACAAGGGGACACAGTTGAAAGTTGAAGACTCAGATGAATCACAGGGATGTTAGGAAGTATTTCTACAGTCACAGAGTAGTCAGGAAGTGGAATAGTTTGGGAAGCAATGTAGTGGAGGCAGGATCCATTCATAGCTTTAACCAAAGGTATGATAAAGCTCGTGGTTCAGGGAGTGACCCAGTAGTGGCCAGTGAAGAGGCGGGGCCAGGAGCTATGACTCGACCCCTGCAACCACAACTAAGGTATGATTTGTTCAGATTTTTAGCCCAGATGATTAGCCACCTAGGATAACCCAAGGAAGTTGGCACATCATCGAGTACTGATTATCTTATTTCCACTGGGGTCCTTCAATCATGTCCCCCAGGATGTGACCCACCCCAGTCAACTTACACCCAGGTGCCTACTTACTACTAGGTGAACAGGAACAGCAGGTGTAAGGAAACGTGCCCAGCATTTCCACCAGTGTCGGGAATTGAACCACAGACACTCAGTGTATGAGGCAAGAGTGTTGCCAACCAAGCCACGGGATATGATTCAATAAATAAGAGCTAGGTGTCCCATAGCTTGATCGCTAGCACACTTAGCTCACACACTGAGGTCTGGAGTCCGAATCTCCTCCGGTACGGCTGGAAAACGTTAGGGACATGTTTCCATAAGACACCTGCTGTCCCTGTTCACCCATCAATAAAATGGGTACCTGAGTGCTAGTCAACTGGTGTGGGTCGCATCCTGGGGCAAAGTTGACCTAATTTGCCAGAAATGCTCAGCATAACAAGCGGCTTTCTGCATAATATATATATGTCAGCTAGGCCTGTATACCATGTACATGTAATAAATAAAGATATTATATTATTATTATTATATTATTAAGGTTAACTGACCCAGACATGATGCTCATCTAAATAATACAACCTGTGTTATTTTCACTAATATCTCCCAAGAGAACAATGTGATCAACTGTAAACTTTACTTCAAATAAGCATGGTTTACCACCACCTCCAGGTATCCAGGTATACAACTGATTAGTTTCAATGGCCATATAAACCACAATAACAACTGATTAGTTTAACAATTGATTGACATACTCTATAGAGCCCAGGTGGACAAAAGTTGTAGTGTCTTATTATTATAAGCAACAAAAAGCGCTAAACCTGACTGTAGTGTAAAAATGTCAAGTAAACTTAGTATCCACAGAGTAGTCAGTAAACCTTAGTCCATTATACTTCTTAAGTTGTTGTGCCTTTTAACAGGTGTCACAGTATGGATCAGGAGACAAAACACGTAGAGATTACTGCTTATTAGTTTAAATATTTCAAATATCAATACACCTTTCAAAAAGGCAGAAATAAATATAAAACTACCAATACTTCGACTAACATCATTCAAAATTCAAAGGTTTATTTGGGTCACTTGTCACTTGTTTTACAGCCAATATAACGACCACTTACCAGCTTTAACTGTCTGAGAGTCCCGAGACACGTATATATAACCCCAGTAAGGCTTAATTAGGCCTAGGTTGACCAGGATAGAGGAGAGAGGATGGAGGAGAGAACAAGGATGTTGTTACTCTCATAGTTTATGTTCTTCTCTGAGTAAAACAATAACAAAGACGGTGATTGGTTGATACTGTGAAGGTGAGCCTCGCCATGCACACACACCTTAACACCTTCGCTAATACCTAACACCTTCACTAACATTCAGCACCATTGCGTTCACTAACACTCAGCACTATCACCTTCACTAACACTCAGCGCTATCACCTTCACTAACACTCAGCACTATCACCTTCACTAACACTCAGCGCTATCACCTTCACTAACACTCAGCGCTATCACCTTCACTAACACTCAGCACTATCACCTTCACTAACACTCAGCGCTATCACCTTCACTAACATTCAACACCATCAACTTCATTAACACCATCACCTTCGCTAACACCTTCACCTTCACTAAGACCTAACACTATCACCTGTACTAACACTTAACACCATCACTAACACCTAACACCTTCACTAACACTCAACACCATCACTAACACTCAACACTGTTACCTTCAACACCTTCACCTTCACTAACACCTAATACCATTACCTTCACTAACAGCTAATACTATCACCTTCACTAACACCTAATACCATCACCTGCAATCACACCTAATACCATCACCTGCACTAACACCTAATACCATCACCTTCACTAACACCTAACACCGTCACCTGTACTAACACTTAACACCATGACTAACACCTTCACTAACACCCAACGGCTAACACCTAACACAATCACCTGCACTAACACCTAATACCATCACCTGCACTAACACCTAATACCATCACCTTCACTAACACCTAACACCATCACCTGCACTAATACTCAAAACCACCACCTTTACTAACACCACCTTCACCAACAGTCAATACCATCACCTTCACTAAAACTCGCTGTATAGCCCTTGTGGCTTAGCGCTTCTTTTTGATAATAATAATAATAATAATAATAATAATAATAATAATAATAATATATAATAATAATAATAATAATAATAATATAATAATATAATAATAATAATAATAATATAATAATAATAATTCACTAAAACTCAACACCATCACTATACTAACACACTTCACAACACTCAACACCATCACCTTCACTAACACTCAACACCATCACCTTCACTAAAACTCAACACCATTACCTATACTAACACCACCTTCACCAACACTCAACACCATCACCTGTACTAACATCACCTTCACTAACACTCAACACCATCACCTGTACTAACATCACCTTCACTAACACTCAACACCATCACCTTCACTAACATCACCTTCACTAACACTCAACACCATCACCTATACTAACACACCTTCACCAACACTCAACACCATCACCTGTACTAACATCACCTTCACTAACACTCAACACCATCACCTTCACTAACACTCAACACCATCACCTTCATTAAAACTCAACACCATCACCTATACTAACACCACTTCACCAACACTCAACACTCACCTGTACTAACATCACTTCATAACACTCAAACACCATCACCTTCACTAACACTCAACACATCACTTCTTAACACTTAACACCAATACTAACACCTAACATTATCATCTCTCATTTACAACCTCAGACATCTTAACTCTGATAAAATGTCTCTCAAATATAAAAACTCGTCGTATTAAGTCTGGTTATGGATCCTTAAGTAATTAGGTTTGAACTTATTTATTTATTTATTTATTTATTTTATGTCTTTGCAAACAGTACATCGAGATTTTATATTTACAATAGTAGGTTGCAATGCAAAGAAAGCCTCTATTATGCCTAGGTATTATGGGCCAACTTAACATTATTTGGGCCAACTTAACATTATTGGCTTACAGACTACTTAATACTAAGGATTTTATCATAGTCGTACAGTAGGACAGTAATTATTTCATAGTTGAACAGTAGGTTATTAATTATAAGTGAATTGAATTTGTATAAGGCAAAGGATATATTCATATAGTCTAAAATGCTTATTGTGAAAAACAATGGTTCAATTATATTCCTGTCAACAATGGATAAGAGGTTCAAAGTGATTTTTGAAGTTATGATGTGGGAGTACATAGGTGAGTAAGTATGTACTGAGTATTTATTTATTTTTTATTTATTTATTTATTTCCAATTTGAGCACACATACAGAGGTACAAAAAAATACAGATAAGAGCAGCATGCCAAAGCCACTTATACTATGCATAGCATTACGGGCTGGCTTAAAATTAACTTAAGATTAACTAAGCAATGATGAAATCAGTGATAAAACATTATTGTAAACAGATAACTATAAAGCACAAGTGAGTATTACAAAGACAGGTCATATGGTTGCATTCAGTTAGGTAGTGATTCTGTTAGGTAGTGTATTTAAAAAATAATAAAGTTAGATTCGGTTTTAGGTTTAACTTTTATGTGATATAATTGTGAGAAACATTTAAGATATACAATTTATAAGGTTCAGTTATTCAGTATTTATTTGGTTTTGGGTGAGTAAGTGATCTTTGAGAAGAGACTTGAATTTATAAACAGGTAGCGTTTAGTCTAGGGTGATTAAGTGGCGTTTGAGAAGAGTGTTAAACTGATTTTCAGACTGGGTTACTTGAATATATTCTGGTAATGAATTCCATATTTTAGGGCCCTTTATGTGCATAGAGTTTTTACATAGTGTGACATGGACACGAGGTATATCAAAAAGAGATCTGTGTCTTGTGTTGTGGTAGTAATTTTAATTACAATTACACAATTTTGACTTGATTACAATCATCTTACAAAGTAACATGTGTGTGTAAATTGTCAAGGATAAACCCCCCCTTAAAATAAAATAATCAAGTATCACTTGATACTTGATTATCAGCCTATTAACAGCAGGATGTATAATGGAGACGATAAATATTAATATCGTGGATTGCCAGGTTAATATTGCAGTTTTTAGCTAATAATATAAATGTTAATATTCATATAATCACGTGAATTTCTGTTTAATTCCGAGCGAGAGACTTTCATCAGTGCAACGCAGGAACTGTAAGTAAGTCACAACACTAACTCATGGGAACCGGATGTGGGGCCAACCCTGCCATGGAATATTATTAAGACTCGTAACCGTGTTATTTCCCCCCTCATAAACCAACACATGACTTTATTTATAGCATGTACTTTGGTATCCCACTTTATATCTCCTGTCTCGTCGTGTTCATGTGTCAGGTTTGTTGTGTTTACAACAGTGATGTTTGAGAGTTGTGTGTTCACTGTATCTGGCGACCCAGCCAGTTGTGTCAGGTATGGTAACAATCATCGAACTTCCTCTTGTGTAAACCTTCCTACCCCTTTACAATATACTTAAAAGACTCTACATATCAAACTACACTACCCTTTATAACTTGTTTCTATTAGATATACAACTATATATAAAAACCACATACACACAAAAATACAGTGGAATATACTTTAATCCGCGATGAATGTATTACAATGTTACGTTAAATATTATGAGAATAAAGCCAATATTTTTGTTTTAATAAGAGACCTTTATATTGAGGCTCTTGCTTCACACAGTGATGTCGGGTTCGATTCTCGACGAGGGGTAGAAACATTGGGTGTGTTTCTTTACACCGGTTGTCTGGAGTTCACCCATCAGTAAAATAGGTACCTGGGTGTTAGTCAACTGGTGTGGGTCGCATCCTGGGACAAAACTGACCTAATTTGCCGGAAATGCTCTACATTAGAAGTGGCTTTTTATATAGTAGTATGTTACTGATGTCAGCTATGGTCTGTATACCTTGTATATGTACCTGTAGAAATATGGATATTATTATTATTATTATTATTATTATTATTATTATTATTATTATTATTATTATTATTAGAATGTTGAGGAGACTTGCCTCTGCCTCGCACTGATAGAAGCTATGGAGCTGAACACACACCTAGGCTGGGGGACTGACCACCTCAAACCTAGTTTCAAGACTTAAGGGACTGACCACCTCCTGTCTACATCCTCATTCTTTCTGTTTAATCTTCGCTATTTCAAGTGAAGAGCTTGCTGAGTAAGTGAAACGTCAGTAAAGATGCCAAATGGTTGCATATGTACCCACCAACTAACCAACAGCCTGGTTGATCAGGCTCTGATCCACCATGAGGCCTGGTCACAGACCGGGCCACGGGGGCGTTGACCCCCGGAACTCTCTCCAGGTAATCTCCAGGTAAACCTAGTTGTGGTTGCAAGGGTCGAGTCACAGCTCCTGGTTTTACTCATACTATTAAATGTTATTATTGAAGATAACCAATATATTCAGTGTACGACTGATCCAGTATCACACTGATATAGCCAGTAGCATCAGCTGCCATTTCACTACAATCATCACAGTCTGGAACACTGGCGAGAGACGCAGCATTCACCCATACATTAGTAAATATAACAATAGTTGCCCCTTTGACGTTAGCTCGGAGTCACCCACAAAGTGTGGCACAATTCACAAGTGTACCTTGATACTTCTGAAGAACAGCCACGCAAGTCTTATTACATTAACTGCATGTAATGGTGGTTTAGTCTTGAACACGCACCCTTGCAACTACGTAGGTGAGTACGCATCTGGTTCATGAAGTTTGTCCCCACCAGCTGCAAAGATATCAAGCTTGGGGAAGGATAAAAAAGACCGCAGACCGAGTACAGGCTCGTGGGGCAAAGGCTACAAACCTCACACAAACAGGACCTTAGGGTGAGTATGATACGGAGTATATTCCCTGAGGCACACATCATCCAAGTAACTGCTGCAGAAAATGTGTGTCTGGCAAATCTAAGAAGTGTTTCAACAACTAGTCATTCACGACACTGTATACCGTGTACATCAGGTCCATACTGGAGTACGCAGCACCAGGATGGAACCCATACCTGGTAAAGCACACCAAGAAATCTGATAAAATGCAAAGGCTTGCAACAGGACTAGTCCCAGAGCTAGGCATGCCTTACGAGGGGATGTTAAGTCAACCTAAGACGCTGGAGGACAAGAGGACTAGGAAGGGAGGTTATGATAATGACATACAAAATACTGAGAGGAAATGGCAAGGTGGACAGAGACAGTATGGGCACAGGGCA